ATCAGTTTCAGCAGCGGCTGACGCCAGTTCCGACTTACATACAGATTCAACTTAAGAATAAACCTACAGTCCCTATCTTGTACGTAACCCGGGGACTGCCTGTACTTTCTAGGAAAAGTCTTGTTGGTCAGCATCCAAATATAATCTGGGAACATGTGGTCCTGGACCAACAACTTCCAGTTTATTTGTGCTTAGAACTAATTTAAAGACCGAGGTACATATTTCTCTCTACTTGGTTGGAAGGTAAAAAGGAGCATAGAAACTAGCAGGGACACAGAAATGGGAAGTAGCTGTTCCATATCATGGGGCAAATCCTTAGCTGACGTAAACAGTCATAACTCCAAAAAGCTATGAAATTTGCAATGCCACAGGATCTCTCCTCACTCCTGCTCTTCCCTCCCAAGTTTCTTCTAATCTTTTTTTCTGAGATTAAACCTCAATTTCATGGTAATGTTGCTCCACAGGAGATGTAAGAATATGCAGCTATAGTGAAGAAGCAACAGGAGCATGATTCAGAAGCAGGTTAGCCAATGGGGAGGGAAGTACCAGCAAAGCACAGTAGTTGTGTTTGGACACAACAAGGTTATGGAGTTATTCTTGCTGATACTCTCTACAGGCCACTGTTCCCACTTCTGCAGCATCTGAAACCTCCTCTCACCCAGGACAGCTGAACTAGAGAAACAAACATAATCCTGTATGGGTTTTATTTTCCCTCTTGTGAAGTTATTTCTGTGAAGGATACCCTTTGTTAGGAAGTGGAGATCTGTACAAGAAATAAATAACTACCATAAAATAACTGTGCTTTATTCGTGGAGAAATCAGCCTCTCTCTGTTTAAAAAATACAGAAATATGTAAAAAATAATTAACTGTCCCTTGCAAATGAGATTCCCTCAGGAAGCAGCATGGAGCCAAATTGTCCTGCTAGAGACTCTAAAAAAATTATATTCCCAAATGTATATTTCAAGAATCTCATGCTGACACTACTTTCTGCTATATAGTGATATTACAACAAGCACAAAACTTCCCTAACAACTCAAAGTGACATGGAAACAAAGAGCCAACTCTTTATGGACCTAATCCAGGCACTCAGACTATCTCATTGAGTTCTCACAATCCTGAATCAAGCTATTAGGTTATATAGGCTGAATGAGGTTGCTCTGCTACCATATTGTTACTGTGTAAATTCTCTTTAAAAAGTTAATCTGTAATAAAACTACTATTTTGTGTGTATACCACAGTATGCCTTCCCTTGTGTGCCTTCTATTCACACATTTCAAATGCTTTAGAAACAGTGCGTTTATCCTTGCAACACTCCAGTGCGGTGGCAATGTAACTTTCATATTATAGAAAAAGACCCAGATAACTTATGAAGCCTGTTGCAGAGCCCCCTATAGAAGGCAGGTCTCATGTATCTTACCCAAATCTTCTTTAGGTGAAAGGAAAAATTACACTAATTAAACAGGGAAAGTTAAATTGAGTTGCTCAGCAAGGAGCATACATATCAATTAGAAATTCTTCTGCTTCACCATATGCTTTTCACAGTCAAATAAAATTAAACTGTATTACTCATTTTTAACTTAATGTTTTAAAAAAAGATTTGTTACCAGACATGTTGACCTACTTCTTACTTTTAAATATTTTCACCATATACTGTACATGCTGTCTAACTCTTTAAATTGCTGCAAGAGAATTTTTAGTGCATAGAACTACCAGTAGTTCATATGTACCAAATGCTTGAACATTCAACCTAGAGTTAGGGAATACTTGAAAAGGAATCAGAGGCTAACAGGAAATAAGAGGTCTTTTATATGGTTGTACCTGACTGTTCCACAGAAAACAAGAAAGTTCATAAATAATGATGTTTCCAACATCATATTAAACAAATGTACAGATAAGTATCCCATTTACTATTCAATTCATGCCTTCACAGCACATGCCAATTTTTGATTAAATAATGCTTTAAACTACACTGCCTTGTTTTGATCTTCAGCCTGAATGATAGAAACCTCTTTTACTTTGCTCATTTACAGCTTGCAGCCAAGATCAAACAAGGAGTTACAGTACTTGCTCATATTAATTTTCTCCCCTCCCCCCTGCAGTTTTCTGACCATATGGGACAACTTGGTTTTGGCATTCTTTACTGTAAATTAGCTCTGCATTATTTCATGTGGCCAAATCTGCCTATTGTCTGTCTTCTGGTCTTTTCATTTTGTATCTACTGTATACCATGTGTTGGATAAATATGGTGACAATTTGCTTTGTGTAATTCCATTTAAAAAAAATTACCAGCCTTTTATAAACCACAGTATTTGTATTTAATATTAGTATAAATAATTGAGTTATACTTTTTATAAACAAGGAAAGAAGCATAGAGAAATATATTAAAGCATCTAACCCTGTTTAACTCAAAGTAATTTCACTAAATATCAGTTGAAAATTTGTAAAGCATAAGCTGCTTGGGTTAAGAGAGAGACTGTTATTTTTGTTCAGAGATTTTCCTACAGCATGAGGCAAGCTATACAAACATCAGGAATAATTGAGCCAAATGACAGGGTTTATCTTAAAGCATAGGAATACTGCAGGTAATACGTCAGTTAATGAAGAGCGTGTAATATAGTACCACTATAGTGCCATTGGTATATTTTAGAAGATCTTAGCTTAGAAAATTGTACCTGGAGCATGTAGTGGGAAAAAGGATGGGGGGGGGGGGAATATGATTGCCTAAGATTTTCTAGGAATATCTCCAGTGTCTCAGAAATAGAAGGTTTTTTGGTGTTGGAAGATAACTAGATTAGATGTACTTTGGGTGACCACTGACTGATTTGATCTAGCTACAAGCATTTTAAAAGTCTATTTCATATATGAACGGTAATCTGTTATTAACCATCAGGTTAATATGCCAGTGCTTGATTGAGAAGGATAGCCACTAATTATTAAGGGCAATAATCTGGTGGTATGGTCAATTCCCTTTAATAGGCAGCCGGTTTAAAACAAACAAAAGGAAGTTTTTCTTCACTCATCGCACAGTCAACCTGTGGAACTCCTTGCCAGAGGATGTGGTGAAAGCTAGGACTTTAACAGGGTTCAAAAAAGCACTAGATAGATTCATGGAGGGTAGTTCCATAGATGGCTATTAGCCAGGATGGGTAGGAATGGTGTCCCTAACCTCTGTTTCTCTGGAGGTGGGTGACAGAGGAGGGAATCACATGAGGATTACCTGTTTTGTTCCCTCCTTCTGGGGATATAGTATTGGTCACTGTTGGCAGACAGAGCTAGATGGACCGTTGGTTTGACCCCGTATGGCCATTTTTAATTTCTTATGTTCCCTAGTCTACCCTGGAATTCTATTTAACCTTAGGCTCTTCACTGAAGCATTGCAACCCTGAGTATCACATTGCCTAGTTTTTAGGTGCCTACTTAAAAGTCAAATAACACTGCAATCCACAAAGCCTGAGTTAGGCACCAAACTCCCTATACAATGAATGGGGAA